AAACCCGCTGAATTTCTTTCGCCGGTTCTTCTCAATACAGTGGCTTTCTTTTCCGAACCGGGTGGTAGTATTTTGACTATCAATAAGCGAGTGTAATGCTCTTATGTTGAATCAAGACATTTGATTTTGATTTTAGAGATAGATTTGCGTCGTGATAGAGCCTTAATGAGATCGTTTTCAACACGGACTAGCATAACAATTATACTTTTGTGTGTACTCAGTATGTGTGGTTATAATTGAACGGGATATGTTATAAACTAGGTCTTTACAAAACCACCTCAAATATTTTACGATAGTTTGTAAAATAATTAATAATACTTCTGTGACTGTTTTTGAGATTTTAAAAACATTTAAAAAAGTTTTAAATGCTAGTAAAATGAACATTTATAATCTTATCTAATAATATTGTTGCATAAGCGGACATTTCTAAAGCACATGATAGTATTCAATAAATGGTTGCAAGATAATGAAAGGCAAAATTTCACGCAAAGCTAACCGCTGATGAAAAAAGGCACAATAAAAGAGATGCGACCAGAAACTGCAAAAGCCTGCAGCGAAGGTTTTATACCTTACTGCAGATATTATTCCGCACAGAGGATTAAAATTTAACTCATTTTCCTTTATAAATGGAACAAGTTATCTTTGCCGCGTAAAGAGGTCATCAATTAAGCAATTCAAGTAAAGTAGCGGTAAACTAATCACAGTTAATTTTTAGTTTACATTTTGAGTAAATGCCGTTCGTGAAATGTATGTTTAATAGTAAGCTTGTTTTGTCGTACTAATAATGGAATAATGACGAATAATGTAAGAATGAAATATTATTTTAAAAACTCGTTTGAATGGCCAACTCTTTCACACATTTTTTATGTCATGCTTATTCTGTTATGCGACTGGCGACCCTTGAGAAACAGCTTACTTCATTTAATAATTTCTTACAGTAATTCATAAAGATGGACATTAATAGTTTCACTTTTATGTGAAATTTATGCATTGTTATCATTTTAATTATTTTTGTGTTAAAACATTCTTAACTTGCCAATCTTTTAATTTTATTTAAGGAATCGGAAATAATAAAAGTAAACCAGAGTTATCTTTAAAGCAACAATACCTTTCTAAGTAATAAAAATAACTCCAAAGTAATGTAATCATAAAATATTTTCCACTTGGTAATGTAGTCTTTGCCACGTCCCTATAATTTAAAAGTAAAAAGTGCCGAGATATATTTAATATTGGATAATTAATAAATTTCACAGCTCTTTTAACTTTGACATAATAGTAATAAATACGATTTTATTTTCTAGAACACCTAAAGAGTAATGCTAAATTAAAAATGCATATTACGCATTTTGAATTTCGATAAAACATTATTTGGGCTTTTTTTGTGCTACAAGTTTACTCATTGGGCTAATAACTTTATCCAGATTGCTTTTTTTCTTAATTCTCTTTATATTTCTTTTCGTTTGTAGGTATATAGTAATATTCATATTATTCATAATACAAAGATGTTGTATAGATATTTTGAAACAAAATTTGGAACTTTTTTTGCATATAAAGCCAAAATTTTTCCTTTAGGAATTGTTAAACCTTTTAATAGCTATATACTAAACGATGTATCAGTTAAAAGCCTTGCACTGATCGTAAAAAATGAAATAAATTGTTTTTGAGACATCGCACAAAATAAAATATTATTTTTGGCATAAACAATTAGAAAACAATTAATTACATAGACTCCGCGTAAAAATTCTTATTGAAAAATTAATTTAAAGAAGCAGTCTTTTGATGAAGCGGTATAAAATCAAACAAAATATCCTAAAACATTTCTGAAAATATTACTCAAAGAAAATGTTTTGATGGAAAGTGCATGTGTCTAGTCTTTTTACGTATTTTGTTACATGGACGTAAATGTTTACATAATTCTTATCGGTTGCGATATTCAGAGAAAAGTATCCCATTTCACTTTCTCCGTAAGACGATGTTAGAGCAAATTTCTTAAGGCGCTGTATGCACTGAATTTTTAACTATTTGGGTGGTGGAGCGGAGGACAGATAGGATACTATTGATAGAATCGTAGGAGGCTTTCGAAAATGTACACAGAGTGATGATGATATTATAACAGGAATAATAATAACCAAACAACTATAAAGTATGAGAATGCAATGAACAATTATAGAAAATCTTGCTGTTAATGTTTTTTTTTTTTCATTAACAGAAAGTTGAAGGGAGAAGTTGTTACAAATACATCTTAAAGACAAATTAATTAATAAAGGCAAACTACGTCGTACAAACAATAATATTCGAATAATGATTTATTTTGGTTTTGTGCTTTTAAATAAATGTCTCATGAAAATTTTTCAGTAATTACGAATACGACTTTTTTATTAAGTACATATTTTTTATATATGGATAAGGAATTTTAATTGATCCTTTAAATGTTCAAGAATTACTGCGTTATATTAATTCTTAACTAAAATGAAAATTAAAAAACTATCGATAAAAACCTTATATGGATAAACGACAACAATTATAACTAGAATTGAAATTTTGTCACTTTCCACAGACATGACGTAATTTATGGGTCCGAGCGTCAGGAAACAATGGTGAACAATTACTATAATCCCAAGTTCAAACCCACATTGAGTGGGGTTGTATTTTTATATTATTTTCCCTTTTAATTTATTAATCCACCAATTATTTTTTATTTCATGAAATGGGTCAATGCCGGCAAATAATATTTTGTTGTAATTATTTATGAAAATAAAAAAATAACAAAAATTGAATGGTCAATAAAAATACTTCAAAATAAGAAAATCAACAATAAGTATAACAAAAAAAGGGATTTGAACCCAATCCATAAAGAATGATAATCATATACACTGTTCGTATAGAACTGATAGACCAATCAATCACAATATAAGACACTGAGTACATATAAGTATATAAGTACTCTTTAAATAAATTAATTAACAACTGTTAATACATACAAATAATTTACGAATACGAAATATGTGAATATATGTATTTTAGTTTCGTGTTTTCGAATGTCTAATAATAACTCTCAATAATAAATAAATACGGAACATATTTCGTAAAAGTGAGTGAAAGACGAGCGGCATAGGTCCATCTAGCAACGCGCTTCGGTGCTTTTTTCTAAGTGTGGAAATGAAAGAGAACCGAAATAACGCCGTAACGGCGCTGTTTTGGTCGTCGCGTACGATTTAATTAATTTTAAATTAATTTTAATCAATTAAATTAATATTGGCAAATATCTTACTTCAATCAAGAAATTAAGACAACAGTCCTGGTTATTAAAATATTCCACACCACTAATATTAATTTCATTAAGATTTGTTGATGTATTACGTACATTTTGGGATTTGAATTTCACTTTTAAAGGTAGTTTCACGATTTTTTACTGTTATAATATAAGATCAATACTAACATGTTTTTTGTTGATGTAAAATGTATAGATTTTGTTAAACAGACGTTTGAAAAACCTATTTTTACTCCATACAGCGGCTTAAAATTTAGGTTCACTGAGTTCAGTGGCATTAACTGTTACCTCCGTATAAACTGCTTTTCGACATATGCGAATATATAATAAAGCTTACTACACTAGAATTACTTTAATGAGCCTTTAGTAAACCACAGGCTTCACCACAAACCTACTTAGAAATTAGGTCCCAATAATAGCGTGTGATAAACGCTCCCTTATAATGGACTGATATAAATTTCGAAAGCAGAATAAATATTTTATTTCCCAGCTCGTCTGTATATTTGTGATCAGTGGTGTAATAGATTATAATATTATTTGGTTAAGAGACTCCTAAATTATTTGTTCCAAGAAAACGTTTTCTTGTTCTAAGGGTTGAAGATTATTGAGCTAATTATAATGTCTTGTTATCCTCTGAATTAATAATATAACATTTTACGCTCCATTTGTTGCTTAATTAAATCGTTTGGACAGATACCAACCTAAATAATTTCATTAAGCGCTATTGACGTCCAGACAAATCCAATTTTAGCGTTAAATGTTTCCTATCGCTGACGTTTAGTCGAAATGGTACTTTGTTAGAGGACACGAGTATTAATTTTAACCTTATTTAAAAAGGGTTTATAATGATCGAGCGTACACGTATGCACGCGCCAACCGCTGAGGGGGTAAAAAATTTAGTTTTAGTAATTCAAGCATTCATGTATGCTGTTGTAAAGGAAACTTTAAATATACTTACCGTTTTATAAGAATTAGACACGGTATTCTATAAGACCTTGGACCTAAATGTTGAATTTGATTGTATTTTTAATTACTTGTTATTTCGGACGCTTACATAAAGTAAGGAGCCAGGGAAATCTGCAACAATCTTTGGACGTACGATAGTCAGTACGATTATCCCACGTTTACCTTACGCATATCTCAAATTTATGTTTACTTAACAAATATTTACCACCTTAATAAGTAAAGTCCGTTTTATCTGTAATACTTTTTGGACATAAATAAATCAAAAAACAATTTTCTTTCCATAAACCAAATAAAGTGTCAAAACCTATTAATCACGATATTTCATAAGGACACAAAATCTCATTTCAGTAAACAGTTATATTATGAAGTTGTGATTAGTGATTTTTTTCTTAATTTCGTGATATCTAAAATCTACTTTATTAATATTTGAATTATTTCTTACTATTAATATACTTTACAAAATATCAAAACATATGATACGGGAAGTAAGTAATAAAATAACGTTTAAAATATTCAAACAGATACAAAAAATATAAATATTCGTTTTGAGAGGCACTTAGTTTACTTATCAAATATATGCTCATAACAATTCGAAAATATTATTCCGCGTTTCATAATTTAGGTGATGCGGCTTTTTTCTTTTAATTAATTCTTTTAATATATATTCTATAATTAAATTTTACAATATTAGCATTGTGATGGAACTAAAATATAGGTAAGTTTTATATATTTTTTTATTTATAGGGGGGCGGGTGGAGGAGGCATGTTCGGAGATGTTAATATATCTGCGATTTTGGATTCTCTCAGCGTAAGCTACGACAAACGAGTGAGGCCTAACTATGGAGGTATGTTTATTTGTGCAATGTTATAAATATTAACAAACATATCAATTTTATTATAATGGTTAAACTAATAATATTAATTAATATTAATTGATCATAAGATCTGTTTATTAATTATTATTAATTATATTTTGTTTATTAATTAATAAATAGATCTGGTGCTAACGAAAATGAAAAAATTTATGTGTAAATTACTATCTTCTTTAGTCTTGACAGAACGTTGGAAAAGCAACTCTCGTGCAGTCCTTCCTTTAATAGACTACTATAGCGACATCACATTACTTTGACCTGAATGCAGATCGCCTTAAACAAACTTGACCGTCTTCTGAATAACTGCAATCAAATCATTTTCAATCTTCGTCTCGTATGATCATGACGTTTATTTCTATCTTTTCCAACTTCAGGTAACCACTTATTCACCAACATCGCTTCATCAGAGCTTCTCTCCCTAACCACTCTTTATTCTTTTTTAACTACTTTACTCTCACTTTCAATATCTTTATATATTCCATCATAAAAACCTTCGCTCGACACATAGAAGACTTCTCCAGTGTCCTTCTTATCGTATTGTTTTCATGTACTTGTCTTTATTTGTACAGCAGGTATATTCTTTTGTGGAACGCTATTCCTTTCGAAATCAGGGCTGCTAAAAGTCGCTCTGCATTTAAAGGAAAAACTCGCTAGCACTACCTCAAAACATTGTCAGATTATCTGGATCGTTGAATATAAAATCATGCATATTTTACATTTATTTATATGAATTATTGGGAGTATTTAGCTTGATACCCGACAGCCACATGCCTTGGCGAGCTCCACAATTTCAGGAAACAATTTCATTTTTCCGGGTTTGTGGCAACCTGCATAAGTTGGGTTACTTAAGCGCCGCCCGATGCTCGACGTTCTCTTTTATTTAGCACCACCTAGGGGGAACGTGTAGGGATTCTAATAGTTACCACCTACGGACGTGAAAGAATACTACTCCCCTCTATTTATATATGTATGTGTATATATTTTATTAAAATGTTTATTTTATTTTATGTATATGTATGGTATATCATCATTTTATCTGATATTCTTAGTACAGCATTTTGTTGGTTCACATTAGATATTTTATACAATGTAGATATTTTATAATTTTTACGAATGCATTTTTAATTTGTAATAAACGCACCTACCTAAACTTTTCTGGATCGCCTAAAAGGTTGACCGGGAGATAATGCTGATGGCGGTAAGGTCTCCTTTGTGGTACCTTAAAAACCTAATATAATTTTTGATGTAAAATTTGACGATTCGTTAGAACGCGCAAGCGCCTATTTGAATAAATATATTTTTGATTTGATTTGATTTGTACATACATGTTTGTGCATAAAAAAATAAAGAATAAATGATTGAATATTCAAGAGAACAATATGTCGAATAATAATAAATAGTAAAAAGTTATTTCGTCTGTTTATCCTTTGCCCTCAGTGTCACTGAATTGGTGCACCAGGTCAGCACTGTTTTTGATGTCATGTAATAATATTCGACCTGTAAGAAATTTGGCGAAGCTGTAGCAATATATTGCAATTCTTTTTTTTTTCTGTACCTGTTCGTTGTTTCTGTGTCTTGGCACTTTTATTTCTGCTTTGACATATTCGTTATGTTATTGGCATATATATGTGTAGTCGATAATATCATCTATTTTAGGAAACAATATTATTAGTTCAAGATTTCAGGATCTGGCTTTTAGTCCAGTAAGTTAGATAATAAAGTAGAGGCAGTTGATTGAATGCTTACCAATCAAAGCATACGGTGGTAGGGCCACGCAGCAGCCTCAGCTGTTGCATGAATGGGCAGGCCCGTCCGGGTAAGTACCACGGCCTCACAGAAGACCAGCGTAAAGTGGAAGTATGACAAATACTTTCGCGTTTCGTCTGGTGAGAGTAGGAGAGATTTTTAAAAGGTTGTCAACGCATCTGTAACCCTCGGATGTAGCAAATGTCGATAGGCGGTGGTATTCACTCACCATCAGGTGAACCGTCTGCTCGTTTGGCAACTCTTCACATAACAAAAAACATTCATTTAATTAATATTAAGTGCATTTTATCAGTTATTTGTCAAAGAAAATGTAAAATATATTTTTTAATTTAATTAAATAAATGTTTAATTAAGATTTTAATAAATGATCATTTTAAACCACAGAAAATTAAATCAAAATTTACAAATTTCAACAAATTTCAACAAATATATTTATACATATAATAATAAAGTAGCTTTATTACACCATGTTCGGAAAATCTCCAGCATTCATAATTACCGGAGCTATTGTGTAAGCATTGGAGTTGGACTTGAAAATTAATAATTATTTATTCGGGTTGTTGTTTGTTATTAAAAAGCATAACTTATATGTATTCGTGTTATACATTTTTACTTAATGGTAAGAAAAATTATTCACCATATCCGACGAAAAAGGGACATTCGACTAACGCACAAAGTTTTTTAAATACGGAAAAATCTGTTTTTTTCGAAATTGTATTGCGTAGATCGTAGAAAATTGAATAAATAAAATGTGTTGCGTGTTATCTTATACCTTTAAACTAGCAAATCTTATATATATTATGAAATTTGAATATTTTGAATTTGAGATTCGGGGGCGAAAAATCGATCTGGCTAGGTTTCATTATTAGAAAATGTCGTTTTATCCCAGTTTTCAGGGAATGAAAAATATCATTCGAATACGACGATAAATTTCACCGACAAAAAATATGTTATAACAGCTCATTCGGTAATCGGGCGGCCTCGAAACAGAAGGCCGAGGTTCGTGTCACGATCATTTACACACTTAGTTTTTACTTTTTTCAATTCCAGATCATTGCTTTCTTTATTTTTTGTTAAAGTTCTTTCTTTTGTGAAAAACACCATTTCATATTTTCTTATTTATTACGTCGGTAAGATCGACTAATATTATGCATATTTCATTAGTCAGTAATTTGTATCTAAATGTAATTTTCAAAATACATGATCTACCAAAAAAAAAAAAAGCTCGGTCCTCACGGTGCTTTTATTATACTAACCATTTTGTGGTTATATAGTATTTAAGATTCTTATGTCGAGATATTCGCTGTGAGTTTTCCATATACTGTACAAAATTATTCATATGAAAAGCATTAAAGAAATATGTCAAGGTGAAATAAGATGGGCTTTAACGTATTACTTTAACGGCATTAATCAATCAATATTTTAATGCTCCATAACATTAAATAAAATGTAAGATATTTGGGTAGCAATACAACTAAAGATGTATTCAGATGTTTACGTATATAATGTGTGTAACATATTATCCCTGAAACAACTATTAAAACAATTTGTGGAAATTTAAACTTCGAAGCAATTTGTGATAACTCATTTTATATAGTAGGCGTGAAGTGATAGGCCGTAACTGAAATGCGCAGATTGAGTAAAGGTAGTAGTGGTCAAAGAAAGAAAGTTAGGTGCAGTAGACTGATGGAAAATCTTTGGTGCGCGCAAGCTTTTTCAGGGATAGTTTCAGTAGATGTAACCAATGTAACGTTTCAGGACCGCCCGTGGATGTGGGAGTCACCATGTACGTGCTGTCCATCAGCTCCTTGTCTGAAGTTAAAATGGTATTTAAGTGACTACTTTTACGTAGATGGTCAGTTAGTGCAAGAATTGAGGGGAAGTGTTTAGGATAGCTACCCTCGGCCGAACGACGGACTGTTTGTATCCCGTAGATGCAACTAAGTCCTCGTTCTGTCGAAGGTGCCTGGGCATCATGTCATCGTCCTCTGGTTTGGTTTTCACGGCGCTGTGCTAGCGCGCGACTCACGATTGGGCTTGATTGCAGGTCCGCCAGTGGAGGTGGGCGTCACCATGTATGTGCTCTCTATCAGCTCCGTCTCCGAAGTGCTCATGGTACTCGCCACTGTCAGCTCACGCTTGTCTCGGTCGCCGCGGCCCCAGCCGCTGCGACCGAGCAGCCCCAGACACGAGGCTGCGAGCATGCCGGCGTAATGGAGCGGACTGCCCGGATGGCGCACCATCAGCTCAAATCCTATAATCAGTCTCAAAAATTCTATTGAAACGTAATCGCATAATTTAGGGTCTAATTGGCTGCTGTGGTGCACTCTTCCGGGTTTGTCTTGATATACCAATAAAAAAATACAGATTGTACCTTGCTATTAAGCATCCCTTCAAGCAAGACACTGTCAAATATTTGCTCCATTGTCGTTTTTTTTTGTTTTAAGCTTTTTATGTTTTAAGTATGTATTTGTTGTGATTGTGAATTTTACTTTTGTCTCTCAGATTGGCGAGTGAAACTTCGAAATCGCCATTTGCCTTACGATTTTCATTTTTTAAGTAGTCTTGCTATGAATGTATTTAAATGTTTGTGTCCAGAGAGTTCCTGTCGGACGAGGAAACTTCTTTAATTTATTTTGTTTCCACTTTGTTTTCATTCTTCTTTTATTTATTTGGATAGATTTTGAGAAGATGTCCTCCACCCAGGATAAACCATGAAACTGTAATCATATTAAATCATTTGGTACCGCCGCGTAAAAACTGTTAAATGGTTAGACTTGGACCGTGCTAAGTTTACAATAACTTGATGCCGAAATACCCTTGATAGCGGTTCCAAAGCACTATTATTAAGAGCAGGGTGTATGACCCCTAGTGGAAACCAAATCAAGGGGACTTAAAAAGTCACATTAAGACGTGACCAGACGAAAAGAAATAGAAAATAGCAACTCATATATAAATAGTACACGTATTAGTATACGTATATTTATAAAATCTATTAACCATGAAATGTTTAAAAACAATGCTTTTAGCTAACAATTGTTATATGCTACATCTGTTGTAATTTGATAGATTTTCATACTTTTACTACAACGTGTGCTTCTAATGTGTAATTAATTGGATATTGTGGTAAATGATAACACAATACCATATTGCCATCCCAAGTTGGTAATTATCGTATCTTAGGTTCTTTCATACTAATTTTGATATTGGAATACATTTACGCATTGATATATTATATTGATACATTATATTTATTAGCAATAAAATAAATTTAAGCAACATCCATATATCAATCCATGAAAATACATTTTTTTATTTTATTAATATTTATGTATTTGTATTATCTTTTAGGATTTCACATTGGATTTCTACTTTAGACAGTTTTGGACGGATCCGAGACTAGCGTACAAAAAGAGACCTGGCGTTGAAACACTATCTGTTGGATCTGAGTTCATAAGAAACATTTGGGTACCCGATACCTTCTTCGTAAACGAAAAACAGTCTTATTTTCACATTGCTACTACAAGCAACGAATTCATTCGTATTCATCATTCCGGTTCTATTACACGTAGTATAAGGCGAGTATCGTGACAAAGGTACAAATTAACTTTCACGCGGAAAAATAGATTTCTACATGATGCGATATTTAAATCCTGTGGCTTAGAATTAAATGTTTTGTAAAAAAATGGTAACTTTGTTTTCAGACTGACTATTACTGCTTCTTGCCCAATGGACCTTCAATATTTCCCAATGGATCGTCAATTATGCAACATTGAGATTGAAAGTTGTAAGTTTAATGGATGGTGTAAAAGTAACACAATTTAAAGTTGTTTGGCTTGTCTTACTTTACTTTCGGATTTCTTGATCTTGCTTCATAAAACATTGTTAAGACTCTTATTTACGATTTTAACCTGCACATAATGAACATTACTTGCTGGTTCCCTGAATTTTGCGGATGCAGATTTTATAGGCTTCTTAAGTAGATAATATTATGAATTCATTGAGACGCTTAAATATTCTTCTCTAAACGTACAAACACGATGCTAACGTCATTTTAACATTTTACACTTAGTAGTTAAACTTAGGACTTCAAAGTTACAATTATTACTAAAAACCCAGTGAGATGGGTGCTTATTTTATCGTTCCATATTTCTCTGCATGGTACAGTTGGCTACACCATGCGGGACATCCGATATAAGTGGAACGAGGGACCCAACTCTGTGGGCGTATCAAGCGAGGTGTCACTTCCGCAGTTCAAGGTTCTCGGCCACCGGCAGCGAGCTATGGAAATCTCTCTTACAACAGGTATCAAGCACCGATGCAAATATCATTGGCTTACCAAAACGTTACGTTATGATACATGCGTTCGCGCCGAAAATGCTTGCATGAATTTCACTAGTTTGTTCGCCAGTGAATTTGATATTGACAGCCTTCCTTTTATCTCGTATTTCACAAATGTAATGGTGACTCATTGTTTTATTTTTTTTTACAGGAAACTACTCTCGGTTGGCGTGCGAGATACAATTCGTTCGTTCCATGGGCTATTATTTGATTCAAATTTATATACCATCTGGTCTAATTGTCATAATATCTTGGGTTTCTTTTTGGTTGAACCGAAATGCTACTCCCGCTCGTGTTTCTCTCGGCGTAACCACCGTGTTGACGATGACGACCCTTATGTCATCAACGAACGCCGCACTGCCTAAAATCTCGTATGTCAAATCCATTGACGTATACCTCGGCACCTGCTTCGTCATGGTCTTCGCGAGTCTATTAGGTAACAATAAAGAAGTAATGGCATAAAAAGTTTTCTATTCATAATTATGAAACTGAACTTTAGTGTTCAGTTAACTTTTGTGTTCATTAAGGATGATTATATCGGTACTTGACAAGCGTGCTATTGGGTTTATAAAAATTTACTAAATTGACGAAATAATATATATACGAATTATTTTATATTACGTTCATGAGTATTTGATTTTATGTACATTAGGTAACTATTTATTTTGTATTTAGTTATGCGTATTACGACTTATAAATAAAATGAATAATTATATAATAATGCTTTGCGATTCATCTTTTGCGCGCAAGTTTTGAATTATGTTTTTATTTCAGAGTACGCTACTGTTGGATATATGGCTAAGAGGATACAGATGAGGAAGCAACGGTTTACAGCTGTACAAAAAATGGCTGCTGAGAAGAAAATGCAATTGGACGGGCCACCTGGAACATCTGAGCCATTGCCACCACCGAGGACAAGCACCCTGACAAGACCACTGCCCCCAAGCCGCTCTTCGGTGAGATTTTGTTCCATGTGGTTGTGTTTCTTAGTTTTATTTGAGCATTAATTTACCTCAAATTTAGTCGTACAACCCCCACACACAGGAAGTGCGGTTCAAGGTTCACGATCCCAAGGCATATTCCAAAGGAGGTACTCTGGAGAATACAATCAATGGAGCACGAGCGTCTGCTGCTGCCCCACCACCACCGCAACCTGAGGAGGAACCTGTTCCACCGCCACACCTGATACATGCCTCGAAGGTTTGTATTAAACATCCAAGTTTTTCGGCGCCACGCGAACGTTTTAGCTAATACCGTATTTCGTTTATTGCGAAGCGAGTTCAGTTTGATAAGTGCAATGCGAGGTAGAAAGACAACGGTGTGCCGCGAATTTGATGTTAAAAATTTGATCGCGATCAAATTAGATATTAATTGTAGAAGTGAAGTCACAAAAATTTTACAGGGTATCAACAAACTACTGGGCACCACGCCATCGGACATCGACAAGTACTCCCGCATCGTGTTTCCGGTTTGCTTCGTATGTTTTAATCTCATGTATTGGATAATTTATCTACACGTTTCCGACGTGGTGGCTGACGACCTGGTACTACTCGGCGAGGAAAATTAAATGCAATTATGGGTGATGGATTCGCCTAAACCGAACTTGAAATTATAGGATATTAGATCGACTTCCGTACCTTGTATTTGCTTAAAACTAATGAATAACTTGTTTTATGTAATGTCTTCTTTTCAGATAGAACTAATAATAGTTAATTTTTTGTGTAGTAAAATGATATGTAAAAAAAATTAAAAATCTTTTCCAGGGTGTAAGTTTAGAATTACAAAAATTTGTAACACCTAATGATGGGCCCCCCTTTTTTTGGAAGGGTTCTTTTCGATTATGTAGTGTGCACATTCAATTATTATTTATCAATCTCTCACAAAGAGACAATAGTTATTCCAAATAATTAATGTCAATATTTGTTTGTTCTATTAGAGCATTTTTATTAAGATAAGGATTAAAATTTATATTAATTCTGTACTGAAAAAAAAAAAAAAAAACAACTATACTGTAGTTTAATAAAATTTAGATATTTAGTCAATGTTATTCCTTTCAACGTAATTAAGACAAAAGATTTAGCTTGAAAAAAACATATTATATTGATTATGTATAAATCAACGTAAGTTATATCTATCGATAATTATATTAACATTGATAGCATGGTTAATGAACGCAAAATAAATAAAAAAGTCATTCAATGATTTTAAGAACTTAATGATAGTGTTAGTTCTCTGTGCTTTTAACTACATTTTCTAAATACTGATAATATTCAAATTAGTGCCCGTTCTCGCAGTAGTCACAGAAATATTTCCTTTATGAACTCGTACAATTTTACTCTTAAAGGCGAAGGATAATGCATTTAAATTGGAGGTTCATTAATTTTTTATAAATAGAGGATATTGACAATTGGTACATAGGTAAGCTGTAATGTAAATATTTAATACAGTTTTTCGTTCAAAAAAGTTTTTCTCTTTCATTTGAAATGTATACACGGGTATATAAAACACTTTATTATAAATCTAGTGCACTGAACACTTTTCTACCTACATATGTACCTAGTCTAAAATTTTACATGTATTTATAAACTCATATATTCAAATATGTATGATTGAAATAATGAATAGTCATAAAAATTGTTCAACGACAATTTTTTATATTTAAATTATTTGAATAAACTATAACTGCCGGTGGTGGCTGTTAAAGAAATTTTGTAAAAAAAATTATAAGCACACAAATAATAATCGAGAAAAGTTGAATTTGTATGAGATAATTAAAAAGTTAGTTCGGTATAAGTGAATATTTCTAAAGAGCGGTTGAGTTAAAAGTAGTCTATTTTAGACAGAGCGAATGTGAGTGAGATTATGTTTATTTCTACATCTGTTGACCTAATTTACGTTCAGAGTCTTAATGGTTTGTTTCTTACGTTGTGATATTCGTTTTTCTTTACGGTAGTATCTTTTTAAAAATAATTAAGACATTTTTTTTTCAACATTTTTCGCTTTTATGTTAATATGTAATAGATATAAAATAATATTTATCATAAATCTTCAGAAATGTCGATGATAATAATATATTTACTAAAATAGAATAAACTATGAAATCCATCGAGTTTGTTAAAGCTTAGTCATAAACAAAATAGCGCTGTGATTTTTCCTTTAAATCATAACAACTATTTTGATTTTATAAAAATACTATTTGTCCATGTTATGTTAATGGTGGCACGTAAATCACAGTACAATAATTATTAGGAGATATTAGAGTATTTTTTAATTATTTTATTCAGCAATGCATAAAGATAAGTAATTGAGAATGTTTCTTGTATTTCATGTACTACTTTCAGTTTCTCTTACATGGTAATTTTTCTTCTGATTTTTCCAAAACTTCCCAATATTTTTATTTTAAGAATTACACGTCATTAAAAAGACTTTTATGTTCTTTTTCTGAATTTGCTCAATGTTATATAAAGAAAGTAATAGAAATAACACTAAGAAGTGCAAATAATATAGTCGTTTAGGAATTGTATTATGTAGTGTAGATATCTCTCTCTATACATATATATACATACTTTAAGAAACATTTATTATTTGTCTCCATAAAGGGGAAAATTTATAGATAACCAAGAATATTACAGCAAACTATTTTTTTAATTAGTACATTTTTGCTGTTTGTTTACCGTAATTTTAGTGAACTGTAAGTAATTGTCGTCGAGATTGTGAAAATATATTTTTGCGCTTCTAAATGACCGTATAAAAATGTGTTTCAATGGTGTGGTCCGTAAAGGTACCGCAGCCAATTATTTTATAAATGTCGTTGTCAATGTTGACATGCCATCAGACTTAATTGTCAGGGGTAGAACTCCTAACCATAGTGCCGATCGATTGAAATTATTTACTTATAATATTATGTGACATCGCATAATTTACACGTTAACGAGGATGGCTACATTGAATTTCATCAGCAATTATCTGGAACATCGAGGAAATGTTTACCAGATGGACCATGTTGTTACGCTGTCAAATGTAGCCATCAGTAAGCGATGGACACGTGTCGGTGCCGACATGTAATTGAATTTGTAACTACTGTATAGTATGTAACATGCAATCGAATTTGATCCGAATTTCAATAGTATCGGTGTAAAAGGAGTGTAGACACTTAAGCCTGAATGATCCTTAAGCTAATTTAAAATCTACGAATCGTTGATGGAATGAGATATTATTGTAATCAATTGTTGTAATGGAAATGTTAAGTTTGTGTTTTAGTAAAGAGAGGAATATAAATATTGTTAAATTTCTACAGATGAGCAGCCATTGTACGAATATTATTTTTCGGTTATTATTACTATTGGATGTCATATAAATGGTTCACGAACAAATGTAAATTACGAAGATATGTAAGATGTGAATTCGTATTATATTGCACCTAGTTAGTAAGAAAGTAGCGTAGCTTAGCTCGCGTGGGAGCGGGCGGGAAGCAACTTACAATAAAATGCAGTCTCCAAAGGAATGAAAAGAGTTCCTGCTTTACGCTTCCCGCCTGTAAACCTCGCTTGTGAAACCAAATTCTAAATCACATTTGAATAAAATCTAGTCATAATTAAAGAAATTATATTGTGAGGTAAAATTAGAAGAATTAATGCAAATCATAAAAGTGATACGCAAGAGGTAACATTATTAAATGATACATTTACCACATTTCCCGTAGTGTGACTCTAAAAGACTAACCGGTAAACCAAGGAAGACAAAGAACCAAGGGAGATTAATAATGGTACAATGTTACTGAAAACGCTCAAAGGGAAAGAATTAAGTTATATGCAAAGACGGCATTGAATATACAATTAAATTAAACTAATTTGTATAAATAATAAAGATAACATTACAAAGCGATAAGTTTAAAAACAACATTGATCACATACCGCCACTTGCCAACACAACTATATTTCACTTATATTTAACACTTTCCTAATGAGCCCGTAGGGTACCGTACAATTAACACATAGCTATTATTTTAAGCACATTGAAGTTACAGGCCTGCAAAAAGCACACTATAAGCCATTATAATTATAAGACTCATTTTAAAACTATGAACTATTGATCTCAAGTATTTAATGAAAAAGACCTTAGGAGAGGGTTGAGTTCTTGCTTATTTTGTAGGATGTTAATTGTTCATTATTCTTTCATGCATATGGTGCCAAATTTTGAGCTGTACAATTTAATATTAGCTTTTATTAACATTAAAAATCCTTTTGTTCATTTCATTTGTCACGAGAGTTCAATTTAAATCGTTTTTTATAATATTAAAATCAAGTTTTATATTTTTCTTCATTATTAGTCATTTTTGATTCTTTACATATGTTAATAACAAATCACTTATTGCATGGCACGATATAAAGGAAATTTATTGTCATGTTCCGTCATTGATTATTTGTTTATAAATTTTAGACATTAATTAATAAAATGTACCTATTTGTTGTAGTTTGGTGTTAATTAAATTTTAAATTCATGATTTTTTTTATTATTTCAATCTTTCATATAGTTTGCCGTGAAATCTCCTAGTTTATTGTGTTATAGAACCCGTTATACCAATGTAAAGAATTCAATTTACTTTCGAAAAAACTGCAATGTCTGGGCTGAAACGATGTTTTAGTGATGTCACTTGAAGATAGAATCGAGAAAGAGATCTACCGATCGGTCGGGCAATTCCACCGTCGAAAGTAAAAGTACCTAAATTCCTGACTGAATGCCGGATCGTACAACGCCATTTCCCCGCGTCTTATTGACCTGTGCGAGCAAGAGAGAAACACATCATACGAAAATTTGTGAATTAATAGTAGACTATGGTCCTTATTTATACAACCTAATTATGTTTTCAATGTGAATGATTTTTCCTTGATATAATGATTATTGGTTAATTTTGGGACTTAGTTTGGGCCGTTTGACCAGAGATGCATTCTATTAGTCAAAGACCTCCGTCAAGATATCGATTGAATGGGTTCCTTAAAGCAGATTAGACAGACGATGTATAATAGCGGAAAAAGTCTTGAACTTATTCAGATTTATTTATATTCGTCGGTTACCGGGTCTTAGTTATTCGCCGATCTCGTCAACGACTTTTGGGTGACGAAATTCTTTTTTATGGGGTTAAAAATTTATATGTGAATAGGTTAACTTTAACACCGTCCGTCTGTAGTTATGTGACCCGCGGACGCCGTTTTTTAATGCGTCACCTATACCATGTAGCTTTAACTAGGTACCTTTGACTAAATTCATACTTTACTATGATTTATCGCGATTTTAGTTTAAATTTCATTTAACTTTCGAAAATACTACTTTATAATATTTAAACCATGTGCTGTTTGCAGTGCTTCGCTTCTATCTTAGTTATGGGAAACGATAATTTGTAAAATTAACCTTTATGTAATTTGAATACTTTGTCATCTTTAAACTAAAAATGTATCTTAATGTGTGTATGTTTTATAGGTTTATCATTTCGGTAAACAGAATAATTTAGTTTTATTGTCTCTTTTTACAAATATTTTCGATAACTGAAAACAAGTTGTTATGTTA